GGGTTGCTCCCTGGCCGGCTGAGGGTCAAACTCGTGCTGCAGAGACTGCAGACAGCTTCATAGTGCTGTGCTTAACCCCTTGCGCCACCAGAGAGGCCCCAATCATTGCAAATATTAAGATGGTATTTTGTCCCCACACCACCCCATCAAGCGCCACAACTGAACCAGTGTAGCTTTAAATGTCTAACATCTTTAAAAAAAAAAAAAAAAAGGACCATGGTGGGCGAATTCTGACCTAGGGGTCAACAGAATTGAAGTGGACAACCTCAACTCAGTGCATGAAGTATCAGTGGGGTAAGTAGAGTCAGAATGATAAGGTGAGATCAGGGTCCCACAGCTACCCCTGGGGAGCCTGGAGCTAATCCTTCAGCTCCAGGCACCTGTCCCAGAGTAGGGTGCCCATGAAGCCCTCGGCTATTTACTGACAAAGGGGGAGACATGGGGCCGTGGGGCTCAGAGGGGAGTGTGAGCACAGGTGGAGGAGGCTCTTACAGTGATGGAGGGCTAAGGTCTAAAGGGCAGGGCTTCTGGGTGCAATGACGTGTTCTGGGATTCGGTTATACCCATGGTTGCGTGGCCTTGCGAACATATTAAAACCACTGAGCCACACACCATAAATGGATCCATACATGGATTTTATGCCATATGAATTATAGCTCAATTGAAAAAATAAATGAATTTTAAAAATGTTACAATCCATGGGCCTTCCCTGGCGGCGCAGGTGATTGGGCGCCGCTCTGTGGAGCTGTCCGCAGCCTCTGCAGCGCCGGTTTGATCCCGGCTGGCAGGCGAGGGTCCCACATGGCGCGCAGACCTCTCCTGGTCCCCTCAGCAGTGTGTTTCATCAGTCTGCCTGTTCTGTTCCCCGCTCTGTCTCTGGTGAATCCTCTCACCTTCCCACGCATCTGGCCTGTACCCCAGTTCTTGTATAAAATAAATAAATAAATCTTTAAAAAAATGTTACAATCTAAAAAACAAACTTAGCAGCAGAGTGCACGCTACACACAAAGGCCGGGGTGAGGGGTTCCTCGGGATAAGTGGCCCCCAACAGCCGGGCCCCTGAGGTTGGGCTGTCACAAATGGGCCCTTCCACCACCTGGGGGTGGGCTGCCCCAAAGGTGGGGAGAAAGCACCGGCCCTGGGGATGCTGGCTGGGATGCTGGCCCCGAAGCAACAGCACTCAACAGCACTTCCCGCCTTCCAGGAGGGGCGGGAGGGGCTGCAAACTCAGAGCCAGGAACAGGTCACCTGGCTGCCAGGCTCCCCCAGAAGGAGAACTCAACTCAGCCCCCCCTCCTCACCCCCAGACTCCCGCAGCTGGTCAGAAGCAGCCAGTAATCCAGGGGTTTGAAAGTGACTTTTAAATTAAATGATTTAATTGCCTATTACAAAGAAAAAAAGCCAATCTAAAAAGGCTACATACTTTGTTTCAAACAAGATGGGTTCTGGGAGAGTGAAACCAGGGAAGCAGGAGTAAGACAGTGTAGGGGGGCTCCCGGTGGGCTGGGCGGGGGTTGGTGGGGAGCAGGGGCGAGGGAGAGGGATGGGTGGAGCTCAGATGTCCTTCAGGGCGGTGGCGGCTCTTAGATGCCGGCCTGGTGGAGACATGTCATCGTATTTGACCCAACCCACAGGATGGGCACCACCAAGAGTGACCCTAATGCCGACTATAGGTTTGGGGTGATGCTGACGTGTTGATGTAGGTTCACCCATTGTAATAAAGGTACCAGGCTGCGGGGGGTGCTGAAATTGGAATGGGCTGTTCATGGGGTTGCGGGGTGTATGGGAAATCTCCCCCTCCATTTTGCTGTGAACCTAAAAATACTCTTAAAAGTGTAAAACACAGAAAAATAAAAATGCAACAAAAAAGTTTATTGAGGTGAAAGTCGCATCACATGACATGAACCATTTTAAAGTGAAACTCCAGCGGCCTTTTGTACTTCATACTTTTGTTCTAAAGCAGTTCCATCACTCCAAAGCAAAAGCCTCAAGCCCCTCGGGCACTTCCCACGGTCCCCAAGACACCCCAACTGCCACCCGCCTCCCTTTGTGAGTCAGACTTCTAATGGGATCTGTTCTCTCATTTTTTAACTTAAATTCAAATTCATTTAAAATATCTCCTTGGCCTAAGATAACGTGTCTGTTGGCTGACCGTTTCTTAAAAATTTCTGAAGTCTTTTAAAAAACCCAGAGGCAACAGACATCCGACATCCGTAGCATCATGCGGGGGACATGAGTCAGCAGACCTGTGGCTGCTTCTGAGTCATCCCAGGAGCCCGAAGCCCCAGCAGTGAATGCCGTGTAGATGGCCCTGGGACACCCAGGCCTGAGCCCCTTCGAGGCAGGGCTTCCTTATGACTAGAAGAGGGCCAGCCCCGGGCCTCTCCCGCTGGTTTCCCACCCTGATTTACAGAGTTGAACTTTACTAAGGACAAGCCGCAGCTTCACTGGCCAGAAATCGATACCCACCCACGCCAATGAAGATGAATGCACACGCACGCGCACACACACACGGGCCAGCACGAGCATTCCCTTCTTGTCTACAAATGGACAACCTAGAAAGATATGCCTCCTAGCTCAGGGCAGAGCAGAGTCACACGGCCAGAGCCCTCACACCTCACACCGATACCTGAGCCAGCATCTTCAGGGACAGAGAGCCCGAGGCTTTGGCCCGTCCTTCATTCAAGTTCCCTGGGGATGCCAGCAAGGTTGAGGTCCCCAGGGAATGCAGAACCACTGCCTTCCACCACCTCGCACCTACCCGAGTCCCACACATGCAGCTGGGAGAAGGTGAAGGTCAACCCAAGTGCCCAGGGGCACCCCTGGTGGTCAGCCAGCTCTAGCCACCAGCATCTCTCACCCCAACCCCACCTGGTCCCCCTAACAGATCTCGTTTCTTACCCTACAGGCCACATGGCGGTCACAGGCAGCTTGTGCAAGTGCTGGTCAGACTGCACCTGCCCCCTGTTCAAATATCCCCAAATATCACCCATTAAACACAGGAGAAACCCCAAATTCCCATGCTATAGGGATTTTCAAAGCTCCACTCTGACTCCTCCCTGCCACCTTCCTGCTTTCTACACCCTGGCCTGCTCCTGACAATCCCTACAGAAAACCTCCCACCTCAGGGCCTTTGCACCTGCTCTTCCCTCCACGTTTGGGCGTCCATCCAAATGCACCTCCTCAGTCCTCTGAGCCCTCCCTGATGGAAAGGAGCTCCCTGGCCCTGGGCCCCTTTCCTCATGTCCTCTTGGCACCGACTCCCTGACGTGGTGTTGCTTAGACACCTGCTCATATACTCATTGTCTGCTCCCTAAATGAGGGGTCTGCAGTTATTGAGGCCGACAGACTTCTTGAAATAATAAAACCCCCAAATTCCGCACAGGCATGCCCTGTCTGGTCTCCTCTGTGTCCCCTTGAGATGTGCCAAGCACATCTTGAACATTTTTGCTGATTTAATGAGTAGATAAAGCATGAAAGAATAAAGTGGTTCTCCGAGGGGAGGTAATTTGGGGACCCTCAGCAACTTGGGGTTGCTTCTGGCAGCTAATGGATAGAAGGCCAGGGATGCTCTAAACATCTTTCGACACAAAGGTCCGGCCCCAAATGCCAGCAGTGCCAACCCTGGGACAAATGAATTCATGAGTGAGACACTCAGGTCCAGATAGTCGGCTGCTGCCCAACATCAAGGAAACTGACCAATGCCCCCTCCAGTCCCCAAATGTTATGTGGGTCACAGTTCAAGAGAAAATCTCCCTTCAGTGATTTTGTTGTTGGTGTGGCTTGTGCAAGCAATGTCATGTTAACAAGAAATACCAAAAGGGAAGTTCAGCTGCTGTCGATGTAAGGAATTAACTTCAAAAGATGTAATTCCGTGCCCTAATCAAAGAGAACTGAAATTTGTCTAGTTCCTTGATTTTGTGGTTTATTTTCCTTGGTAATCATGGACCTTCCTTAAAATTAAACAATCAGCTCTGTTGGGACCTGCTTATGTGTCATATTTCTAGATTTTTTAAAGTAGATTTTAGCGTGAGCCGGGCAGTGTGACTTGTTCCCCACAGTCACTGGGGATGGGGCCTGGGTGAGGGGCCTGCAGTTATTGAGGCCAACAGACTTCTTGGAATAACAGCAGAGACCCCAAATTCTTCTCAGTGAGTGCTGGAGCAGGGTGTGTATTGATCTCTGAGGATACCAGGTGGCCACCAGGGGGCCATCACTGGGCCCTTGTCCTTCCTCATCCCCCACCTGCTTCTCTGGGGTGGAAGTCAGCATGATGAGGTCAGGAATGCTCTAAATTCCTTCAAATGCAAAGTTAACTTATCCAAATCTAAACCCCAAGCAGAGACAGAGAGAATGATCCAGATGAAAACTCTCCACCAGGAGGACTGTCCACCCCCCTGGGAAAATGGCCATGGCTGGAGGCATTCTTGGTTGTCACAACTGGGGGGCTGTGCTACTAGCATTGAGTGGGTGCATCCAGGGATGCCGCTGAACATCCTATAGGGACAGCCCCCCAACAAAGGCTGGTTCAGTCTGGCATGCAACAGCACCAAGGCTAGAAACCTACTCTGACTAGTCAGGGAGACACAGGGAAGTATAAAGTGCTCCCCAGAGGATGCACAAGATGGAAGTCTGCTGTCCCAGGGTGGGGCCCTGGGTGTCGCTCCCGGGGTGAGCAGCCGGCCCCCTCAGCACAGCCTGACACAGATGAGGACTCCAGAGGCAGACAGGAGGGCTCACGTGCCGCCCTGCAGTTTCAGAGCTCTCTGACATACATAATTGTGTGGGAATATTATTTTGTCCTAAAATCTCATTCGTCAACATTTTCACATTTTTGGTACCGTTGCCGGTACTGAAAATGAAAGCCAAATTTGGTACACGTGACACCTACCTCAAGGTAACAAAAGTCGGTGTCCAACCTCTACCCCCGAGCTTCCACCCATACTCCACCCAGCCGGGCCACTAGCCTGCGGTCCTCGACGGCGCTCGCTCACACTTACCCGTGATCTGGAACGCTCTTGAGAGCCGGGAATCGGGGAATCGCTAGGGCACATCTTACTGTAGCAAAGTGGTGTCTTCTGTGTATTTGATTACAAAGAGTTAGCTCCATTTTTGAAACATATTTGCAAATACACATTTTCCATCTGGCACAGGGTTTGTTGCTGACTGCTAAACCGAGGACCAAGGGCTGCTTAGCCCAAGGCTCTTCCATGCACTTAATTTACTTAGTGCTCGTTGTAAGTAAACTGCTGACTGTGTGTTGGAGGTACCTGACCTACCTACATTATTATTAAATGCTCCAGAGTCTTGACTGTGTTTATTTTTAAAAGAAAAGGCCTGTAGCATTAGACTTGTGTACCTGGAAGCAGTTACGGTGCATTACCGTAGTTTGGAAGTTGTACGTGATAAAACATATTTTGCTTTTATTGTATGTTTTACTGAACGACCCAGGCTCCCTTTCAAGGCAAGTGTGAATAAAATCAGATTAAAATCAGTCCCGGCCTGTGGCACTGCAATCTCTTAGAATTTGTTTCTTCTGTTTTTATTCCCATGCATACTGTCTGTATCTCTGGTTATCCTGTTTAAAAGAGAAAGAGCAAATAAAGCACGGCCAGTAAAACAGAAAAGGAAAGGAAAAGGGATACAGGGGAAAGGAAAGAGAAAGGAGAGGAATCCACGTCCGCGGAGGGACGATCTCACTCTGGGTGGGATCCACTGGAACCCGTGACCTTTGGGGGCACATCAATTCCGTGAAGACAGTGCCTTGAAAACACCAACACGCTGGGGCCTCCCCGGTGGTGCAGGGGTTAAAGACACAGCGCGGTCCAGCTATGGGCGGCCACTGCAGCAGGGCTCAGTCCCGGCCAGGCAGCTGCCCACAGGGCGCACCCTGATGGGAAGATGACAGGCACCGGATGAGGTGTCGGGGTCCTGCTTGTTACAGACACTCGTCACCTCCTTTAGTCCTCTTCACACAACCCTACGATGGAGCTAACATCACCCCTATTTTACAGATAAGAAAACGGAGGCTCCAGAAGGTGCCCTGGCTAGTCCAGCGTCACCACAAGCGAAGAGTTACAATCCCGCCTGCGGGACCCTGGATTGCCCATGGCATTGTCTCCTCTGCCCGCGTGTGACATGGGCCACCTCAAGAGCTGGTGAGCAGGCCTGGGCCCCGGTGAACAGAACCACAGAGAAGATTGGGGGGGCACTTAGGCTCTTGCCCCAGGAGGCCCACCTAACCCAGGGAGGGACAGGGCATGAGCAGCTGGGGTGGTGGGGGAACAGCTGGGGTGGCAGGGGAATAGCTGGGGTGGCAGGGGAACAGCTGGGGTGACGGGGGAACAGCTGGGTCTTCCCCGCTGGGCAGAAGGCACTGTCCCTACCCTCTCTGAGCGCGCAAGGCCTAGAGCCTGTGTATGTCTGGGAGCTGTCTGCAGTCCTGTAACTGCAGTGGGCTGGGAATGGTGATGTCAAGAGGCAAAGGTGGGGGCCTCCCCGGTGGCACAGCGGGTTGAGCACAGTGCTGTGAAGCTGTCCACAGCTTCTGCAGCACGGGTTTGATCCCAGCCGGCCGGCGAGAATTCCACATGGTGTGGCAGACCTCTCCTGTCTCGCCCGCTGCTCCCCTCATTAGTGCTTTTGGTCCGTCTGCCTGTTCTGCTCCCCGCTCTGTCTCTAGTGAATCCTCTCACCCTCCTGCACCTCTGGCCTATACCCCAGCATTTATATAAATAAATAAATAAATCTTTAAAAAAAAAAAAGAAAGAAAAAGAGGTAAAGCTGGGCCTGCCTGACCTGGAGCCCAAGATGGCTGGAAGCCCAGCATACTCACAGAAGCACCTGTAGAGGACGGCACAGCTAAAGCACAGGGCAACCATACCCCCAGCAATCCCACTCCGAGTTTATGCCCAAGAGAACTGTGTGCACACCAATGGCCACCAACGCTCACAGCAGCATTGATATGTGAACGAAAAAGCAAACACCATGTCCATCAACTTATGGGTGAATAAACACAAGGTGCTCCATCCATACAGTGAGCTGTGATTCAGCCACAGAAAGAATGAAGTTCTGATAAAGGCCCAAACATGTACGGATCTTGAAAACATGCTAAGTGGCCAAAGTCAGACAAAAGGCCACACAGCACATGGCTCATTTTATGTGAAATGTCCAGAGCAGGCAGGTTCATGGGAACAGAAAGTAAATTAGAGGTAGGGTGAGGGGTGGGAAGTGACTGCTTACGGGGTCCCAGGGTTTCCACTGGGGTGATAAAAAAATTCCAGAACTAGATGATAATGGTTGCACAACCTTGTGAATATACTAAAATCTACACTGAAATGTACACTTTTATTTTTTTTTAAATATTTATTTATTTATACAAGCACTGGGTACAGTCAGAGGCGCGGGAGGGTGAGAGAATTCACCAGAGCCAGAGCGGGGAGCAGAACAGGCAGACCTAACGAAGTACACTGCTGAGGGGAGCGGCGGGCGGCAGGGGAGGTCTGCGCGCCATGTGGGACCCTCCTCCGGTGGCCGGGGAGCAGCTGGGGATTGAACTGGCGCTGCAGAAGCTGCTGGCAGCTTCACAACCCAGCGCTCAACCGCTGCGCCACCAGGGAGGCCCTGAAATGTACACTTTTAAAGAGTGAATTTATATATGTGAATTAGGTTCCAGTTAAACACACAGTCTAGAATACCAAAAGCAAAGGCAACAAAGTAAAAATAGACAAACAGAAAGACAGCAAGCTAAAAGGTTTTTGTACCTCAAAGGGAAGAACCAAGAATGAAAAGGCAAGCTATGACATGGAAGAAGGTATTTTTCCAATCATATATCTGATTAGGAGTTAATATCCAGAATATGTAAAGAGCACTTACAACTCAACAACAAAAAAATCCAATATTCCAAATAAAAACATATATTTACAAAAGGACCTGGATAAACATTTCTCCAAAGACGACATACAAACAGTCAACAAGCAAATGAGAAGATGTTCAGCATCATTCATCATTAAAGAATGGTCAATTTGAACCAAAATAAGAAACCGCAGATCCATCAGGATGGCTGACTAATAAAAAGCAAAAGAACAAGTGCTGGTGAGGATTTAGAGAAATTAGATCCCTGTACATCACTGAGGATTGTGAAATGGAGCTGCCGTCAGAGAAAATGGATGGAAGTTCCTCAAAAAATTAAAAATAGAATTACCATATAACCCAACAATTCAACTTCTGGGTATATATCAAGAATTGAAAGTAGGGTCCCAAAGAGATATTTGCACATCCACATTCATCGCAGCATTATTCATAAGAGCTGAAAAAGGTAAACAACCCAAGAGTCTATCAACAGGTGAAGAGAGGAACAAAACATGGTCCATTCATACCATGAAATAGTATTCGGCCTTCAAAAGGAAGGGAATTCTAACACATACTACAATATGGGTGAACCTTGCGGACATTATGTTCACTGAAATAAGCCAGTCACAAAAAGACATACTATATGATTCCACTTACATGAAGTATCTGAAGTTAAATTCACAGAGACAGACACTAGAATGATGGTTGACAGGGGGTGGGTGGTGAGAGGGGAAATGGAAGTAGTAGTTTAAAGGGTACAGAGTTTCAGATTTGCGAGATGAGAAAGTTCTGCGGATGTGGTTCACGAGAACACGAATATACTTAACACTATTGAAATATACACTTGAAAATGATTAATAATGGCACCATTTATGTTGTAGGGTATTTTTTCTACAATGAAAAAGCTAGAAAGAGAAAAAGTACCCCACCGGGAAAAACACACAGGGACAGAGCACAGCCAACGGTTCCTCTACCTGCCCAGGTGTACTGGGGAGTCACACCTCGCTGCTCTTCCCCAAGGCGCCCCCTCTATAGCACTGCACCTCGCTGACCTGGAACTGGACCAGGTCTCTGTCCCCAGGGCTTAGCCAGCAGCAGCAGCTACCCAGCAGACTGTGAAAAATATTTACTGAACAAACTGCACAGCAACCGCATTGTGAGGTCTGGCTGGTACAGTTATCCCATTTTACAGAAGGGTCGGTGGAGGCACAACAAAGCAAGGTGACCTGTCCAAGATCACAAAACCAGCAAGTGGTAAAGGAAGAAGTGGCCTGACATCCTGTTCTATCTCTTCCGAGATGTCACCTCCATTCAAAGTCACACCGAATTTACAAACAATTCCCACCCTGTCTTCACCAGTCTTAACTTTTTCGGTTCATCAACCCATTTAATAATCCGTAACAGTTTGAGTGCCTTTCCTAAAGCAGCACACAAATGAAACTTAGATAATGGTTTCCAAGATTCCTATACCCGCCTGAAGCCCAAGCACAGGCCTCCATTAAGAACCCGATTTCCACCCTGCTATCCAGGGAAGCTCATCTATTCTCAGGATTTCAGAGACATCTCTCTATTCCTGGGCATCAGACCCTGTGAGGGATGCTATTTTAAGTTCTCATTCCCTGGAAGCCATCCCCTGTGACTCTGGTATGTAGGTCCAGAGCTGGGCCCAGAAATCTGCATTAGGGAAACCAGAGGATTCTGGGACTGGGGGCTCTCAAACAGATGGGTCTGTGAGCTGCTGCCTCCCAGCTCTCTGAAAGCAGCCTGATGACTCCTGAGCTCCTTGCCTCCTTCCCAGCTGCCCACCAACCTAGCCATTAGAACATTCCATCACAACCCAGAAAGGACCATCCTGAGCTCAGCACCTCTTCCCCAGCAGTATGCCTTCACCTGGGCCACTAGGCCAGAGCCTGGGCATCATCCGGGACTATCCCCATCCACAGTCCACAGTGGACCATCACTGCAGCGGCTGAGCCCACCTCCTCTGTGGCCCTGTCCTTCTCTCCATCACCCCTGCCAGCAGCCTGGTCCAAGCCCCCAGCTTCACTCCCTACTTCCCTCTGCCCCTACAATCCTGCAGTTCTGGTCACACCATTCCCCTGTGTAAATCCCAATTCTAGAACGGCACTGTTTAATACAGTAGTGACACATGGCTATTTAAATTAAAATTAATTAAAATGAAATATCCAAATAGTTCCAGCAATCACACCAGCCACATATCAAGTGTTCAGTGGTCATGTGGCTGCCTACAGGATAGGGCAGATACGGCACATCCTCGTCCTCGCAGAAAGTTCTAGAGGACAGCGTGGCTCCCAAACTTCAGGCTGTGTCCCCAGCCTCTGCTCCCCAGACCCCTGGTCTTCAGCCACAAGACCCTAACCTCCTGAGCTCACCTCCAAGCCTTTGCCCGTGACCCCTTCCCTCTCCCCTGCTTAGCTAACTCCCCCCTCCATCCTTTAGGGCTCAACTTGGCTGTCACTTCCTCTACAGACCAGGGTAAGCTTGGCGCTCTTGCCAATCACAACATTGAAAATAGCGCTCTAACAACCCCGGGCACGCACAACCCCCACTTCCACGAGCCTGGTTACTGGCCACCAGGATGCAGCTGAACAGCCTATAAGGCACAGGCCAGCCCCAGAGCCAAGGAAGTACTGGCCCAAATGCCAGCAACGTCAAGGCTGACCCTCCCGGCTACAGGCAGGTCGGGGGGTAGCCCTGTAAGGGCAGGGGGGTGTCCTGTATACCAAGAGGCCTCAACCCCCAGCCCAGAGGCAGGCACACAGGAGGTACTTAATACAGACTGAACTGTCATGAGGCCCGATGTTCTGTAAGATTCTGTCCCCAGGAATTCAGCTTTCTCATGGTCTTTCCTTAGAGACAATCATTGATCACATGGCAGGCAGAATAATGCCCCCCCAAATATCCAGATCCTGATCTCTAGAACCTGTGCAAGCTAACTTATGTGGCAAAAGGGACTTCAAAGGTGGGATTCAATGAAGGGTCTTGAGATGAGAGGCTCACCTGGATGATGGGGTGCATCCTAAATGCAATCACAACCCTACGAGGAAGGCAGAGAGAGGTCCGACCCAGGGCAAGGCATCAGGAAGTTGGAAAAAGAGAGAGTCAACCAGAGATGCTCCCTGCAGGCCTGGAGGGTGCAGGAGGGGCCAAGCCAGCAGCCACCGGAAGGTGGAAAAGGCACCTTAGCTAACCCAAGGGAGAGTGGCCCTGTCCCCACCCTGGCCTCAGAGCCAGGAGAATGTAAGTTCCCTTGTTTGAAACCATAGTTCAGGGTAACTGCTACAGCAGCCCCAGGGAAGGAAAACAGTCCCATTCCATTCTGGGGTTGGTTGGATTCAATCCTATTCCATTCTGGGGTTGGGTGGATTCAAATCAGTGAATTTAAAAGGAAAAGCCTTAGGGTGCCAGGCGCAGGGCCTGCTAGCTCTGTGGGCCTAAAGGAGCAATAGGCAGAAGCAGGTGAGGAATGTGGCTGGGCCACAGGTGTCTCCAGACGCGGTAACTGCCCAGGGCACCAGCAGCTGTGTCCAAGGGTTGCTCCTCACCGCGCCCCACCCTGCGCCCCCGGGATGCAGCAGGTCTCAGGCAGGCAACTGACCTTACCCAAGCCACTATGTCTGGGAGGAGCTGAAACTGGGATTAGAATAAAAATTCAAACCCTTGCCCACCTCTCCAGGCTCCTGCCAATCCCTCTGCCCTCCCCACCAACTCCTGACAACCACCAGTCTCTGATCTTCCAACAGTGTGGGGTGTCTGCCCTTGCGGCTCCTTTCTTCTAGGACCACTTCTGGAGTCTCCCTTGGCTGGCTGCTTTTATGACTCAGGTCTCAATGCAAACATCACCTCCTCAGAGAAGCCCTCCCAGGCTGCACTAAGGCAAGTGGCCTTCCCCAGCCCCTTTCCCTTGCATCACCCTGCTGCCTTCGTCCCAGCTCCTCCCACACTGTGATTAGCTTGTTAATGCGAGTGTCTGCCTGTTCGGTGTCAGCTCCCCTGCCCCTCCGTGACCACCTTCACCCCCCCCGCCCCCCGAGGTTCTGGAGGTCAGGGATCCTGTCCCATCTGTCCGGGGTGTGTCCCTAGCCGGTGCCCGACTCACAGCAGGTCCTCGGGCCCCTCTGCATGAACGGGAGGGTGAGACGGTGCGAGCATTTGCAGCTTTGGGGGGTGCCGGCCCCTCACCCGTGTGGACACACCTGATCTTAGCTTTCCGGAAGGCCAGCTCCTCTTCGTTGCCAAAGTCCAGGGACACATCCTCCGTGTCGTCCACCAGGGCCTGGGGGGACACCCAAGCGGTGGCAGGCTCGCCCCCGGCACCTCCCCGCCCCCCACCTCTCAGCTGCGGGGCCCTCCCCCGGCTGTGACCTGAGGCTTTGCCCCGGCCAGTCCGCGGGGTCCGGAGGGCCAGGCCCGGGGCAGGCGCATCCCCCCTGCCAGGGGCCCGCGGCGCGCCCCGCAGGCTCCTCCGGTGCTGCCACCCCCCTCCATCCCCAGCATCCCGGGGCCTACCTGCTTCATCCTCTCGCAGCCCACCAGGGCCCCCTCCCCGGCTCGGCCCGCCTCCGGGTGCTGCAGGGCAGGGCGCGGCGGCCGGGGGTGTGGTGGGGGCGCTGGGCCCGCGGGGGCTCCGCGCAGGGCTCCGGTGGGGGCGGGGCGCGGGGCGCAGAGCGCAGTCGCGGCGCGGCAGGTGGGCTCGGCCGGGGCGGGGCTTGGGGGGGGTCCCCCGGGCAGGGCCGGGCGGGGGCCTCTCCTCGGAGAGAAAGCCGACCCCGAGGGGCGATCCCGGCGGAGGGCGGAGCGAAGGCGCCCCGGGCTCAGCGGCAGCCGGGCGCCAGCGGGCACCAGCGGTGCCGGGAGGGCCGGGGCTGGGCCGGAACCGCGGACGGACCTCGGTGTCCAGGGAGCCCGGGAGGGAGGGGCCTGGGCCGCGGGCAGCCGCGCTCGGGGTTGAGAGAAGATGTTTCCCGAACCGCCCGGACCTCAAGAATCCCCCAGGGTTCTTGTAAGAAGCAGAGCCCCAGGCCCGGCCCTGGGGACGGAGGAGCGGCGCGCAGGCTTTTTTCTTGAGCAGCAGATCTGCTGAGGCAAAGCCTCGGCGCCACCACCGAGGACAGTGACACCCGCCACACCGGGTACCAGGCGCGCGGGGAGCGCACAGCAGCACTCCTAGCAGCAATGCAGCAGGCCGTTGGCACCTTGGGGGTGAGGGGACCCCTCACCCCAGTCAAAAGTCCCCATAATCTTTGACTCCCCCAAAACTTAACTACTGAGAGTCTGCAGATACCTGCAAGTCATAAACAGCTGATGAATCTATGTTGTGTTACCTGTGCGTGGCCTCCCTGTGTGTATTGTTGCCACGAAATAAGCCAGAGGGAAGAAAATGTCCTTCAGGAAAATCTCAGGAAGCCAAGATGCCTTTGCAGCCCCGGCTCCGGGACCCTAAGTCATCTGTGTTTAGCATGAACTGCCTGTCCTACGGCATGTTGCCTTGCGCTAGTCGTGCGTTACGCTGGGCATCAAGAGGAAAAGAAAATGTGCAAAAGAAATTCATGTTTTTTTAACAATTCACACGATGGTATTTATTGGGAAAAGCCCACAGAGCAGTGGGTGGGGCAGGTCACACCCTCCTGCTCAAGGGCCAGCTGTAGGGTGTCCAGGCCTCTCCCGGGGTCTCCGCAGAAGGAAAGCTGTCACCTGAAGTCCTTCCCTGGCCCAGGACACGGTCACGCCTCCCTCCTGCCCTGTCTCCTGCCACCCCCACCTGGCCGAGGGCTGAGTCTGCCCTTTGCCCTCCCGCCATGAGCATCAGGGGCCTGTCCCTGAGCCTCAGTTACCCAGAAAAGAGCCAATGACATAAATGCTGGCCCACAGGGGTGGCCGGCTTAGGGTGTGCCTAAGAGAAGGGGGTGCAGGGCTGGCAGGAGCTGCCTAAGTTCTGATCTCTGGGCGGGCACCCTAGCCACTCCCTGAACTGACCCCACAAAGGGTCCCAGGTGAGTGTGTGGTGGGACAGGTGCCATCTTCAGGAGTCAGGGGGCCTGGCAGAGGCGGGGATGCCTCACCCCTCCCCAGCTACCAGCCCTCTGCTGCTGCAGGCCCCCCTGTGAGCGGCAAGGCTCTCAGCCCGCCAAGTCTTGTTGCTAGAAACCCCTGTTAGCTCTTCCAGCCCAAAGCCACTCTGGGAAGAGAAATATGTCACTCTGAGAGATTGGGGTATCCTCAGCTACCATCCCCCACGGGCACCAGCCCCTGGGAGGGGTTGATGGGGGAGGATGGGCAGGAGTCACAGCAGCAGGCAGGTGGAGGGGAGACACCTGCAAATTTTTTTAGGGGCTTTTCCTCCATGCCCAAGAGTCACCAGCTGGTGATCTCTGTTAAGTTGGGGCTCAGCCCCCACAGGGCAGATGAGGTAGGAAATCCCCCTTGGAAGCCCCATTTGGGGACAAACTGTCATTTTCGGCCTTTGGGTTAGGGGTACCTTGAAAGTAGCCACAGCTCCTGCCATCTAGAGGTCACTGCTCAAACACGGGGTCCTGCCTTGACCCCCTCCTGACTGGTCTGCACGGCCTCAGAGGCTGTAATGGCAGGGCCAGACCTGGGGGCTGCAGCAGGCCTGCACCAGGAGAAAGCACCCTCCCTGCCCACATGCCTCTTTGCCGTCAGGGTTCTGCAGGGATTTCATCACTGGCTCTGAAACCACTGCTGTCGGTTCAGTGGAGTTGCTGGTTAAAGGCAGATTCCAGGGCCCTCGCCCCAGCCTCTGAATATCCAGGGCTGGGCCTGGGAATCTGCTTTTAGTAATAGTCTTGGGGAATTCTTGGGATATGGGACTTTTGGAAAATACTGGTTTCTCCCATTAAACAGTTGCCATTGAACACGCCCATGGGGGTCCTGACACCCCCACTCTGCTGGTCTGGGCCCTGGAGGCCCCTGGGGAGCAAAGCCTCAAGGAGCAGCCCCATCTCTGATCCCTGCAGTTTGGCTACAGGCTCTGGAGCTAGAGCAACCCCGGGGAAGGGGCTGCAGACTCGGCAGCAGCTGGCCCCTAGGTGGCCCTTGGAGAGAAGATCTGGAGCCGGGCAGGCCCAGCTGGGACCTGGCTCTACCCCAGCCCAGCTGAGTGGCCTTGGGCAGGGGCCTCAGTCTCCACATCCATAAAGTGGACCCCACCTCCCACCCCAGATGGGGATGATGCAAAAACCAGAAAACACATCTACAAAATGCCCTTCTCACAGAAGTGGCCCAGAAAATAGCAGCCTTGGGGGTGAGTGACTGTGGTCATCTCCATGGGGGCCTGGGCTGGGCGGGCACACTGGACATGAGCCTCACGCCAGAGCCACTGCTGCTGACAGTCATCAGCTTCATCCGGGAACAGGAGCTGCACCAGCCTGTTTGTCAGTTTCAGGAGCACCTGCCATGGACCCCTGTTATATCCTTTGCACAAATGGCATGTGGGACAGAGGGCTGTGCATGGCCCTGCTCCCAGGCAGGACCCCAGGAGGCCTGGACAGAAGAGTTTGGGGTAGAACTGACAGCGCTGAACCCTGGAGCTAATACTGGAGGAGGTGGGTTGCTGGGAGGAGCCCATCAGCCTACAGCCACAAACGCAAACACAGACCACTGCTCTTTACCCTGTGGCTCAAGGGCACTTGGCACCCAGAGTTAACTAGAGAGGGTACCAGGGGGTGATCAGGCCTGGGCCTGGAAAAGGCCCTGACCTGCACCCCATTCCCCATCGGCAAGAGGAGCAGCAGCCCCAGGCGGTCATGCCCAGGCCAGCACATGCTCCTCACCCTCAGTCCAGACTGCCCTGGGCAGTGCCCCCGAGAATCTGCTGATTCCTAACATCTGCCAGCCTGGCACCTGCCTATGGCCCTGCTTAATAGGTACTGGTTGGAGAAGGAAAAGAGGGCCGCTCCACTCCCTCTCTTACTCAGTCATACCCATTAGCAAACAGGTGGCAGATGAGCCCAGCTCTCCCTATCTGTCTGGCCCTGTCTGCCCCAGCCTAGCCTTGCAGCATTTCTTACCACTCTGAGTTTTTTGTCCTTGTTCTGTTTTTGTTTTTTAAAGATTTATTTATTTATGCATACAAGAATTGGGGGACAGGCCAGAGGTGCAGGGGGTGAGAGGATTCACCAGAGACAGAGTGGGGAACAGAACAGGCAGATTGACAGAAAGACACTGCTGAGGGGAGCAGCAGGTGAGCCAGGAAAGGTCTGCCGTGCCATGTGGGTAGCTCCCTGGCCAGCCAGAGATCAGACTCATACTGCAGAGGCTGCAGATAGCTTCACAGTGCTGTGCTTAACCCCTTGCGCCCCCAGGGAGGCCCTGTGAGTTGAGATTTAATATTTATTTGGAGAGACTGATTTGTTGGGAATTCAACAGGAGGATGGGGGAGTCTTTCTGAACTGAACTTCAACATTAAACACTCTTGCACACACATCTAAAGGAACATAAGGTAAACAGCACAATAAACTTGCTATGCGCCAGCCCGGATTCAAATATCTCGATTCATCCAGCTTGGCTTTTTGCATCAATACGTTCCCTACGTCTCCCTTCCCTATGAAATTCGAAGAGATTCCAACACGTTAACATTTCACCTTAGTATTTCGGTCTGTGGCTCTAAAGACGGACTGAGAACAGAAATGTTTTCAAAATGATCAGAGCAAGGCTGGGCTGGGCAGAGGCAGGGCACCAGGTAGATAGTGGGGCTGGACCTTATCTGTCAACTGTTTGCTAAATGAATGGCGGTGGTTGGCGGGGAAACCAGGGGGTTCCCCACAAACAAATCCACCCCACTTTTTCCCTCTCCACTCAGCACTGATCCGCAGGGCCTTCCTTCCCGGCAGCTGGCCCTCTGGGGAGAGGTGAACAGGAAACTTCCTTCATTCTCCTCCCCAACCTGGTGACCAGGTGGTTTCCTCCTGCTGCCTTCCAAGAGGTGGATGCCACCCCTCCCCCCAGCCCATAAGACCTTGGGGAACAGGAAAGGTACCCTGCCCAGGGCTCCTGAGACTGTTACAGTACGCTGCAGACTCTGCCCCTTCTCAGAAACTTCAGCCTCTCCCTCCTCAAGGCCTTTTTGCATGTGCTGTTTCCCCTGCATCAGGGCTCCCCCGCCACCCAGATTTCTCACCTGGCTGACAATACAGAGGCTCTGAATGGCCCTTCCTGACCTCCCCCCACCCCCTGCAGTGTCCCTGTCCAGCAGTTACCATAAATGGGCTTGCTCCTCAGTGTGCATAGACCAGGTTATTACGACAACAGGGTTTTGAAAAAAGAAGGAAACTTTATTTCAAATCACCTAGCAAAGAGACAAGAGATAAACTCAAATCTGCCTCCCTGGTTAAGTACTGCAGTAAGGGCCTCCTTGGTGGCTCAGGGGTCAAAGTCTCAGCGCTATTAAGCTATTGCCAGCCACTAAAGCACAGCACAAGTTCAATCCCCAGCCAGGATGCTACCCACATGACTCAGCAGTCCTGTCTCCCCGCTGCTCCCTTCAGCGGTGTATTTCAGTAGATCTGCCCGTTCTGCTCCCCACTCTGTCTCTGGTGAATCCTCTCACCCCACACCTCTG